ATAACTGAATTGGTTCCCTTTGTACTAGACTGCGTAAGGAAGCCACACGTGGAAGCCTAGAACCTTCTTTGTATAACCGGCCAGGTGATGCCTGTAACACCCCGGCCTCGCAGGGTCCGAGGTAGTTACAAATGGTATCAGAGCACACTTAAGGTAGAAGTCTAGATTCTAATAGGGGAGATGAGGTACCGAGAGCATATCGGAGTGACCGTACAAAACAACGGATCACTGGGCTCAAGAATCGAGATAACGTTTGAGCAATCTCAAGTTTCACACTCTCAGTCACTCAAATACTTTGGACAATCCACATACGTTCATGTAGGTTTTAGGAATTAATCTTCCTTGAATGTTATTGAGCCATCCGGCAAGTATAAATACAGAGTACAAAATAACAAACTCCTTGTGCAGATCCTAAAAAATAGGATCTATCTAATTATGAACTTATCTACAATTTAAAGAAGTCTAACAACTCTAAAATCTTATCTACACGACTACATATGTACATCATTTAATAATTAGAAATAAATGACACGTTTTTCCACACCCCCTCAAGTTGGTAAGTATATATATCATACATCCCCAACTTGCTTATAAGTGGTTCAAACACTGGTTTGAACAATACCTTTGTGAAGATGTCAGCTGTCTGTTCTTTGGTAGATATGAATGGTGTGCACAAAATTCCAGCTTCAATCTTTTCTTTGATGAAATGTTTGTCTACCTCAATATGTTTAGTACGATCATGTAGCACAGGATTATGAGCAATATTAATTGCTGCTTTATTATCACAATACAACTTCATAGGCAGATCCATCTCCATTTTTAGTTCTGAAATTACTCTCTTGATCCAAAGTAGTTCACAGATTCCATTAGCCATAGCTCTGAATTCAGATTCTGCACTACTTCTAGCAACCACATTATGCTTCTTACTTCTCCAAGTCATCAGATTTCCTCATACATAGGTACAATACCCAGAAGTAGATCTTCTGTCAGTAATTGAACCAGCATAGTCTGCATCCGTAAAGGCCTCAACAGTTCTATTGTTGCCCTTTCTAAACAATAATCCTTTCCCTGGACAACTTTTCAAATACCTTAGAATTCTGTAGGTAGCATCAAGATGTTCCTGAACTAGATTATGCATAAATTGGCTCATCATACTAACTGCAAATGCAATGTTTGGCCTAGTATAACCAAATAAATCAATCTTCCAACTAATCTTTGATATTGCTGAACATTGACTGGAACACCCTCTTTGACCTCTCCCAACTTTTGATTAGGATCAACTGGGGTATCTACTGGTCTACAAGCACTCATACATGTTTCTTGAAGAAGATCTAGAACATACTTCCTCTGTGATACAACAATTCCGTTTTTATCTAGCTATCTCCATGTCAAGAAAGTACTTTAATTCCCCCAGGTCCTTGACCTCAAATTCCTGAGCTAGCTTCTCCTTTAGATTTTCAGTTTCTTTACAGTAAATCTCCTGCAAGGATAATGTCATCAACATAAACAAGTAATATTGCAATCTCCCCCTTACTTGAAAATTTCATAAAAAGTGTATGATCATCTTGAGCTTGCTTGAATCCCTGTCTCTTTATGAACTGAGTGAACCTGTCAAACCAGGCCCTTGGGGACTATTTAAGTCCATACAAGGATTTCTCCAATTTGCACACCTTTGAGCCATATTTACTCTCAAATCCAGGAGGTGGACTCATGTACATTTCCTCTCCAAGCTTCCCATTTAAGAAGACATTCTTCACATCTAACTGTTGAAGTGGCCAATCTAGGTTAGCAGCTAAAGATAAGAGAAACCTTATAGTATTTAACTTTGCAAGTGGAGCAAAGGTCTCAGTATAGTCTATGCCATAGGTTTGTGTATATCCTTTGGCAACCAATCTTACCTTGTATCTTTCAAGTGTTCCATCTGCCTTGAACTTAGGAGTAAAACCCCATCTACATCCCACTGTTGGTTTGTTCTTGGGTAACTCGACAATCTGCCATGTCTGGTTCCTTTCAAGAGCATCCATCTCTTCCAAAACAGCTTTCTTCCACTCAGGTTTAGATAGATCTTTCTGTATGGTTAAGGGAATTGCAATAGAGGAAAGACTAGAGGTAAAGGCTGCAAATGATAAGAATAACTAGGAATAAGACACATAGTTTGAAATAGGGTATCTGACACATGATCTTTTCTCTTTTCTGAGAGCAATTGGCAAATTAAGATCACTAGAATTATTATCTTTTTCATTTGCTGGCATTGAGTCAGATTCATGAGTAGTTGCAGAATCAGAGATGTCCTCTATTCTTTGATTTGTAACTCTCCTTTCATAAACTTTGCCAAAAAAATTACTTGGCTGTTGCTCATCTTCTTTCCATGTTTCAGTTATATTTATTTCATTTTCTTCTAATTCTTGACCATTTTCTAATGCATCTAAGTTTCTAATATGCTGTGCATCTAGATTAATGTCAAGAAATTCAAGATTTTCATGAATATGTAGTGCACTGTTATCATCTTCACTAGAATTCTCCCCCTGAAGATGAGTATTAAAAAAAGGCTGATTCTCACCAAAATTAGTGTTTATGGTTACAAACATCTTTTTTGTTGTAGGATCAAAACATTTATATCCTTTTTGTGTTGAAGATAGTCCTATAAAAACACATTTTTACCCCTAGGGTCAAATTTACTTGTTGTTTTGTTAGGATTGTTAACAAACATTGTGCAACCAAAAATTTTCAAAGGAAGAGAGCTGATCAGTCTAGTTTTAGGAAAAGAGATTTGAAGTGTATCAATAGGAGTTTTAAATCCTAGAGTTTTTATGGCATCCTATTAATTAAATAGGTAGCATGTAAAACAGCATCTCCCCACAAATATTTTGGAACTTTGGTTGAAAACATGATTGCACAAGTGACTTCCAGTAAATGCCTATTTTTCCTCTCAGTCGTTCCATTCTGAGCAGGTGTATTTATGCAATAACTTTGATGTACAATCCCCTCTTCAGCAAAAACAATTGTTTAAATTTTGAGAAAAATACTCACGGCCATTATAACTTCTTACCATTTTGATATTGGTACTAAATTGAGTTTGAACCATGGAGTAAAATTTTCTGAACACATCTTTAACTTCAAATTTTTCTTTAATAAAAAAAAAACTCATGTTACCCGTGTATGGTCATAGTTACAAACCACCTCTTGCCTTTCAAGGTAGAAACTCTAGATGCACCCCAAATATCACTATGCACAAGAGTAAAAGTACTAGTTGGTTTGTAACTATGAGGGATATAAGAATTCTTGTGATGTTTTGCAAGTGCACACATATCACAATGAAATGATGAAGGATCTTTATTATGAAACAAACAAAACGTTTAGAGAACGCTATAAACAAAAATGGTTTGTAACTGGGTGGTTGACCTTCCGGGATAAAAAAAAACAAAATGCTATATTAACTACGAAAATGCTATATTACATAAAACAGGCTAAGTATTTGATTTGAACATATCTTATTATATGTTCTTCATTTTTTTTAACCTGGTAGGCAAACCACCTTATGGTGGGGCAAATAAAAAAGAAATTATATGAAAAGTTGCTAAAATGATAACATACGGCAATTTCAACTAATGTAGTCAGCAAGGCCGTCTTTTAGGAGGTGCAATAGGTGCTTCACACCGGGGCCCACGTTTATAGAGGGCCTCCAAATATTTAGTATGTGTCATACATGTATTAGTTATAGGTTGCTTTTTCTATCTATTGTGTATTAGTTCATATTCTAAAACGTGTGTTATGTCACAACAAAGACTCAATGGTTTGACAATGATATCAAATTGTGAATGAAGCTCTCTACAAGATAGAGTATAATGATTTAAGTGATGGTTTTGCTTCGAAAACAGCTAGGAGGACAATCATATTCATATATGTGGATTTTCATCAGCGATGTAATATTACTTTAAGATTGTTTAATTTGTGTATTTTAAACATTATAAAACTTATAATTTATTTAACTATATAGTCTTTTTGTATTTCATTATTAAATTTGTTATTCTTTATCGTTTTAGAGGGCCTCAATTCGCCATTTTGAACCGGGGCCTCCAAATTCATTAGACGGCCCTGGTAGTCAGAAAAGTAACTTCAACCTTACTGATTTTGATTCTTACACAATTCAACATGTTAAATCAAAATTTATGTGTTTAGTGAAAAAGTTAACTGATAAAGTGATAAATTTGATAAGTCAAATGTCCGATCATCAAATGAGCTCATAGTGTTCAAATGTCAAACGAGCTCATAGTGTTCAAATGTTTCTCACGTGAGTAGTTGTGTTTAAACCTACTTTTGAAGCATGAGCTAGTTTTAGAGATTAGATGTCAAGTGTACTTGCAAGTAGTTTATAACGTTTGAAAAAAAGTAAAAGTTAGAATATTTGATAAAAAGGCTTATTTTTGTGTAATAGAATTAGTAAAAAAGCATTTTAAATCACCCAGTTCCTTCCAGTTTTAACTTTAAAGTGCTAAATTCAAGCAGATTCACCTATTTGAAAACACTACCTTTAACTCCTTTAAAATATATATCTAAAAAGCAATTTTTAATTTTTTTACAGACACATCTTGAATTTTAATATCCTAATGATAAATAATATGAAGTACGTAGTACGTACCAAGGGTGGATTCGGTCCGGAAACGGGTATGGTGCCATGTGGGACTGCACCAGGTTCGAGAATTCGGTCCCAATTCAAACCAGGTAACTGGTGGGCCCGGTCCACCCATTTGGGAACCGAAGCGGGCAGTTCCATTCACCCGGTACAGACCTGCCAATTGTTTTTTGGCTTGGAATCACTGGAAAACGTGGGGGGGGGGGGGGGGGGGGGGAAATTAAATCAAACTTGATTCGGACCGCCTTGGTACCCAAAATCAGCCCAAACGTGAGTTTATCCGAGTCAAGCCCAAGCTTCATCTACCAAGGACCATGACCGGCTGGTCCGCGACTGGAACCAAACTGGGAATGGGTCCACTCCTACTCCGTACTATTTACCATGACCTTAAAATAATTAGTGTTGCTTAATATTTGTTATGTGCCACCAAAAAAGAGAATGATGATGTTTGAAATTTATTCTGCTTCTACTTTTTTAAAAACAGAAACAAAAACAAAATCAAAATCAGTTTTTCGAAAATCGGTCTCGCCCAGCTTCTAAAAACTGCTTTTAAGTGCATTTCGCATCACTCATACGTGCTTCTGCACTTCCATCCAAACAATCAATTATTCACACCCTAAAAGGCAGAAGCAGTTTTAACTTTTAAGTAGATCCAAACACCCTCATACTCTAGTAACTCTATACATATTTGTGGTTAACTTGATGTGCATATATATATATATATATATATATATATATATATATATATATATATATATATAATAAATAAAAAGATGAATAATTATTGATTTATTAAACCGGATGGATGTCGTCGGTGGAAAACAAATAAAGAGCCCCTGGATCCTCTTCCCAGCCTCATCTTCTCATCAATGTATAGGATCTGCAGTTTAACCTCGCTCTCACCGCCATACTTCAATTCTAACCCACCAATCTTAACATTCGGAGGTGTGAAAACAACTTCAATCCACTTTTCATCAACCACCTTCAATTTGCCTGCACTCACAAACCAATTCCTTCAGTGGAACATATTGCGCTATATACTCTATATATAGAAAGCAATTCACACAGGCCATTTGGGGTCCTTCCCGCGGTGAATTTTTGAGCATGTTCTTCATTAATTCTATTTTATGTTATTCAAATTTCAGCTAAAAATTCAATCGGGTCAATCAAATGTGGAATTGAACAACACTGGGCTGTTTATATATATAAAGTACAATGTTTTTAAATAATTTATTTAACGGCCCTCCCAATTGAATTTTTAGATCAAATTTGGTGGAAATAAATTTGATAATGCTCAAAACATTTCATCAAAAAATTACATCGAGAAGGGCCCCAATGGTTTTGGCCGGACGATAAGTCCTGTAATGCCGGCCTGATATAACTACCTCCACACACACACACATATATAGAGAGTTCATATCAGGAGCTCCAGATCGGAACCGCCGTGCAGAATTCACTGTTTGGGGCGGCTCCAAGTGGAATTTTTTGATGAAATTTTTGAGCATGTTCTTTGTCAAGTGTAGTTTATGCATGCCAAATTTCAGCTCAAAATTTAATCGGGAAGACAGTTAACTAAATTATTGAAACATACCGCGCATTATGTACATATATAAAGCGCATTACATTTCATGATTTTATTTAACTGTCATCCCGATTGAATTTTGAGCTAAAATTTGGTATGCCTAAACTAGAATTGATGTAGAACATGCTAAAAAAATCATCAAAAAATTTCATCGGGAACCACCCCAAACAGTGAGTTCCGGTCAGGAGCTTCTGACTCAAACAAGACTCTCTCTCTATACATACATGCATACACATATATATATATATATATATATATATATATATATATATATATATATATACACACACACACACACAAATGTTCAGGTCAGGAGCTCCTGACCGGAACCGCCGTCCGGACCAAGGCGTTTGGCCGCCTTCCCGGTGGCTTTTTTTGATGAAATTTTTATGACATGTTCTCCATCAAGTCTAGTTTATCCACAAAAAAAATCAGCCAAAAACTCAATCGGGAAGGTCGTCAAATGATTTTTGCAAGTTAACTGGTCCGGAATATGTATTTTCCGGACCAGTTAACTTGCAAAAATCATTTGACGAGCTTCCCGGTTGAGTTTTTGGCTGATTTTTTTTGTGGACAAACTAGACTTGATGGAGAACATGTCATAAAAATTTCATCAAAAAAAGCCACCGGGAAGGCGGCCAAACGCCTTGGTCCGGACGGCGGTTCCGGTCAGGAGCTCCTGACCTGAACATTTGTGTGTGTGTGTATATATATAGGGTAAGGTTCAAGTGAGAAGAACCCTTTAGGTGAAAAGTGAGAATGAATCTCAGCCATTGGATTCGACTAAGTTGTAGTAAAAAGACACTTCATGATGCACTGAAATATGCAATCTAGCACGGTGGCATTTATGTAAATACTTCTAAAAAATCCGTATTACACTTGTTTAGTGCAACATGAAGCTATTTTGGTGCAACGCCGTCAAATATTAGTGCAACATGAACAATTTTAGTGCAACATTGCAAAATTTAAATATTACTGCAACATAAAGCCATTTTTAGTGCAACTTCATAAATCTAATGACTGAGATTCATTCTCATTTCTCACATTAGATGCATTTCTCATCTGAACCAATATATATATATATATATATATATATATAGACACACACAAACACAAATGTTCCTGTCAGGTATACCTGACTGGAGCTGCCGTCCGGCCACCTCGTTTTGAGGTGGTTTCTGGTGATATTTTTTGCTCAATTTTTTTGAGCATGTTCCTCATGAAGTGTAGATGATCTCCACCAAATTTGAGAAAAAATTCAGTATGGAAGGTAATCAAATGATTTTTTAAAGATTACTTTCCCATCAGGTCTTTCATTGCTTTAAAACGAATGGATGAGATCATTTTCATCAAAAATGTGAACGCTAAACAAAAGTATCTCCTTTTTGTAGTCTACTCGGTGAGTACTCGGCGAGTACTCTCTACTCGGCCTCCTACCTTGCAAAGTAGCACCTTAACTCGGCCCGAGTTAATTTTCCGAGTTACTCGCCGAGTACTCAGCGAGTTAGTCAACTCGGCGAGTTGGTCAAATTGGCGAGTACTCGCTATTACTCAGTATATATAAAAAAGAGCATGCGCTTACAAAACCTAGACATATAATCGCTATGGGTCATCATTTGGAGCATCGACTACTGATGCTACATCGTTTGGAGCTGCGACTGCTACTTCCAGGAGCTCCGACCGCTATTAGTACGAGCTGCGACTGCTACAGTGCTGCTGCGAGGAGCTGCGCTTGTGACATCAACGGATAAGTCTTTCCCTCGTTTCTTCAATTCTTTCCTCTTGTTAAAAAAATTAAATCAATCATGGGATTATTAATTCCCTCTCATTTATCCAAACTGTTGCAGCCGTAATTTTTGACCATTGAATTCCAAGTTGCTAAGTTTCTTAGTTATTAAATACCTGAGGCATTAAGTTCCCTTTATACTACTCCCTCCGTCCCATTTTGGTTGTCCTACTTTCCTTTTTGGGTTGTCCCAAAATGAATGTCTTGTTTCCTTTTTTGGATGAAATATGTGTTTTTATCAATTCACTTTATTCTACTCAAATCTCAACCACAACTTTTACTTTTCAACAACTTTATTAATAATCGTGCCAAATTGAAAGTGGACAACCATTATGGGACGGAGGTAGTACATGTTAAGCTTTCATTTTTTATATTAATTTTTGCTTGGAGCTTTAGTCAAAATTGATATCAATTCTTTCGTATATTCCCCCCCCCCCCCCCTCTCGTTTTTATCATTAGGATAATAGGATTTTGCTACTCCATCATTAGGATAATAGGATTTCTATCCTTTTATTCACTTCTATGCATTTTAAGACAATTTAAAGACTATTTTAAGACTATTATATTTCTATAATCTCGGGCATCTATATTATTATATTTAATTAATACAAGGCCGAGTAATCACCGAGTAATCCCGAGTAATCGGTCCTACTCGCTACTCGGCCCTTGACCGAGTTGCTACCGAGTAGCGAGTAAACTACTTAGAGCAATACGCATTTTATTTTCAATACTAATGCATTCTTGCACTTTTATTAGCTTCTTTTGATTACAAATTTCTCAAATTACATAAATGGCAATGCGTTATATCCTTGAAAATTGATCTCATCCACTCATTCTTTCACATCAATGATTAAGATTACTTCTAAACTTTCACGTGGGAACCACTTTTTATATGAACCAGGCATATATATAGATTTCGGATTAAATAAGAACAAGTTTATAGTTAGAACGTGCTAATACAAGCATACAAACATTTATTCCAAAGTGATGCACAATAAAGCTCGTCTATTACACTTTTTCACGTTATCATAATATTTACCAACCTGTTGCTGCGTTTATTTAATATTTGTTTGATTTAAGCAACGTTAAGAAGTGCAACAGACAATATCTATTGTGCATCACGTTGAGTTAAATGTATGTGTTCTCACGATAACAGTGTTCCTATTGGAACCACACTATATATAGCACGGCTTACGTGGAGTATAACATATGCAAGAGTTATAACAAAATATATTATTTTTATTAAGATTTACATATTGAAAAACTACGCTAAAAGTTCTACTAAATAGCAAAAAGTAAATTTGAAAGCGATTTAGACTTATTATATAGAAATAAAGTAATTACAGAGTTAAGTTGACATGTGAATGGTTTATGGAGAGAGGGAGGCGTGATGTTTTTAATTTTAATGAAATTTAAATATACTTTTAGAATCATTACTCCCATAGTCCCATGGTCCCAAATATAGTTCTTTATTGAAGTGGTTGAAAAAAGAAAATACGGAGTAAATGGTTTTGGACTCTAGTAGGAATGAGTGAAACGACAAAAAACGCTTATTTTTTCAAGAAATTAGATTATTTTGGATCGGCCTGAAAAGGAAAACCTGAATTTTATTTCAAGACACAGGGGGTAAACTTGAATTCTAGCTAAAAGAGTAATTAATGTTAGTGATATAGCATTAGAAAACACGCACAAAATTGAGTATGCATGACAAAAGACAAATCATATATACAAATACAAAAATACGATAAAGGGAAAAAGATTTATGCTAAACTAAGATACCTTTCAAAGAAACTTCCCCATCAATGAATCCCAAAAGAGAGAAACCCACTTTATTTCTCACGATGTCAGGGGCTTCAAGGACCTGAATCATTTCCTTTGTTTTGAAGAAAAGACGACCAATTGTACTCCTATAGAATCCTCCTGGTGAAGTGGGGTTTGAACAGTATACTACATCCCATTCTGTAAGAAATTTCAATAACTAACAAATAATAGTTCTTCATATTTCTGAAATTTGGTATCAATCTGTAACAATCACATCAATCATAGATTTCAAACAGCAATAAGCTATGAACAAAAGCCAATCGGCCTGCTTAAGCAAGAGTTAGTTGGCTACCAAATGGAACCTCAATCACTTAATGCCAAATCCATGCTGCACATGGACGGTCACTCTAAGCTTCATGATTAATCCGAGGCTCTTATAGGATTGAAAAAGATTGAAATTGTCATGGGACTTGACTATAGGCTAATACAGACTTCTCTTAACCATCAAGGTTAAGAATCCGCCATGTAGAATTATGAAAGAGAGCCACATATGTATAAATTATAACGTCTTACATTCGACTATCTAATTAATTCAATTCCATCTTTCGCTTAAACCATCGGATTAAAAAAAAACGTGTAGAACTATGAAAGATCGACTATCTAATTAGTTCAATTCAATCTTCTAGTGTAGTTCGACTTATGGCATATATGGTCCCTCAGTTATTCAAGAAATTAAAATCTCATACCTGTATTTTTGAGATTGTAAATGTCACCCCTAAAATGTCCAAATTGTTGTAAATGTGGTCCTTTAAGTAGTGAAATGTACTCTCGCCCACATTGTATATTTCACCCCTCAAAAGGACCACATTTACAGCATTTTGTACAATTGAGGGGTGACATTTACAATCTCAAAAATACAGGTCTGAGATTTTAATTTCGTGGATAACTGAGGGACCATATATGCAATTTTCCCTTAAAAAATAATATGTATAAATCTAAATTTGTAAATATATGTGTGTAGGGTGCTTTTCTAGTAAGAATAGGTCTTTACATGAGAAGTAAGATTGATTCTCGGATGGAGAACTCGACAATGTTGCACTAAAAGATGCAACCATGTGCAAGATGAAACTGTTTTAGTGCAACATTATTGAATCCAAAAAGGGCGAGATTCATTTTCATTTCAAACATTAGATGAACACACACACATATGGCGGATCAGTGCCGACAGTGTGTCTCTGGGTGAAACTTATTCAATATCAGTAACATGGTTGAAGCTGCTGCACCCGCGGTTCCAAGTGATGAGTTGTTGGAGTGGACAAAGAAAGATAAGCGCAGATTGCTGCACTGTGTATATCGCGTTGGTGACCTTAATCGCACCATCAAGTTTTACACAGAGTGCTTTGGTATGAAGTTATTGAGGAAGAGAGACATCCCAGAGGAGAAATATGCAAATGCTTTTCTTGGTTTTGGCCCCAAAGAGTCTCACTTTGTCATGGAACTGACATACAATTATGGAGTTGACAAATATGACCTTGGAATGGGCTTTGGACACTTTGCTATTGCAAAAGAAGATGTTTATAAATTGGTTGAAGGCATCAAGGCAAAGAGTGGAACCATAACTCGTGAACCCAGACCTTTCAAAGGTGGATCAAATGTTATTGCTTTCACGAAAGATCCTGATGGCTACCTCTTTGAGCTTATTCAGTGAGGCTCTACTCCAGAACCACTCTGTCAAGTAATGCTTCATGTGGGTGACCTAGAACGTTCTATCAAGTTCTATGAAAAGGCATTAGGAATTCAACTTCTGAAGAAAACAGACAGGGCAGAACAGAAGTATAACATAGCAATGATGGGATATGCTCCGGAATATGAGACTACAGTTATTGAATTGACATACAATCACGGCGTTACTGAATGCAGCAAAGCAAATGCCTATGCACCAGTTGCTATTAGCACAGCTGATGTATACAAAAGTGCAGAGGTTGTTAATCTTGTGACCCAAGAGCTTGGCGGGAAAATCACTCGACAAGCTGGTCCTATTCCATGGATCAACACCAAAATCACTTCTTTCGTCGACCCGGATTGATAGAAGACAGTTCTGGTTGACAGTGAAGATTTTCTGCGGGAGCTGCAGTAACCACCACCACCACGTGGATGCATAGTCTCAAACTCATCTTTCAATAACAATGAGTTACCTTTCCCCTTCCATGCTCTGCATATATTCTATGTAATTTACAACCGTTTTAGTTACGTAGTACAAAACAGGAGACTTCAGTCCCTATAAAGTTGTCCTCGTTCAGAGTATGGTCTTTGCTAAATTATCTTATACTACAAAACTATCTATCTATCTATCTATAATATATAATAACATAAAGTAACGAGGATTGTCATCATGCTATTCCCGCCAAACACACATTTAATGATCACACCCATTAAACAATAAAAATTACATGAATTATTAGCAATTAATAATAATAATAATATAATTGGAATGTTTTCATTTAATAAAATTAATGCGGAGTAGTAGTTTTCCCAACCAAAACAATAGTAGTATATAATTGAAGGGATTTCAATTAAGGGCAAGGATTGTAAACGAATCAAATAATTTGTGCTCGATTCGCGATTCGAATTCGTATAAGACGATTCAAATTCGGAAAATTCAAATACAAATACAAATATGAATATTAAATTTGATTCGAGTTGTTATCAAATACAAATAAGAATATCAGTGTATTCGATTCGAATATTAATCAAATATATTCGATTAATAATAGTGATAATATTAATAATAATAATACTATAATAGTAATAACACATAGTGTTAATAATAACACTATAATACAACTACTATATAGTGTTAATAGTAATAACACTATAATAACTTTTAAAACTTAAAAGATAGCAATACCCTAAAGTGAAGTTTATACATACATTTATGCATATAGATTCTAAGTCCATTTGTAATAAATCAGAGTATAAATACGAATACAAATCAGATTATTCTAAGTCCATTTGTAATAAATCAGAGTATAAATACGAATACAAATCAGATTTTTGGTTCAAATGTCTTTCAAATATAATACAAATAAGTATGTATTCGATTCGGAGAATAAAATTAGAGTCGTCTGACTTTAATATATACAATTATCAACTTATTTCACACATTATAAGTATAATTTCTAATATGTGTGTTAGTGTTCATTTCAAAAAGTTTGAAATAGATTTATATTTGTTAATCATAAAATTGATTCACTTTAGTATATCGTGCACAATTTAAATTCTAAAAACACACATAAGAAAATTTATTTTAAAGTGATATTTGACTAATATTTAACCTATGCTCAAATCTATTCGATATTCGTATAAGATTCGTTAACTATTCGTATTGTTAAACAAATACGAATACAAATCGAAATTAATATTCGTTTCATATTTGAATTCGAATTCGTATTCGAAAAAATTAATCAAATACAAATACAAAATCCTACTATTCGACTCGATTCGGTTCGTATACAACCCTTGTCACTCATCTTTTGAATGTGACATTGTTACACCGCCCAACACTCAATGTCATACATTAATGCAAGCTTAATTGATGTTCGATAAATTTGCGTGGTCTAGCCTGAAACTGAAAAAAATCAAATTAAATTATTGGAAATGTTCTGATTTGCCGAGTGAGGCAGAGATGCGTATATTGCGTTAGATGTGTGGCCATACCAAAAAAGACCGCTTGAGGAATGAGATAATCAAATAAAAGGTGGGAGTACCACCTATAGAAGATAAGATATAGAAGTCACGTTTGCGGTGGTTTGGTCATGTGCGTAGAAGACCGAGCGATGCACTTGTTAAACGACTTGAGAAGTGGGGAGAAGAGGCAGGGAGGAGAGGGAGGGGAAGACCTAAACAGATTTGGATTAGAGGAATCACAAACCGATATGCGTCTTCTTGGGCTGGATGAGAGTATGGCTTTGAATAGAGCAAAGTGGAGGGCGCACATTCATGTGGACGATTGATCTCTTTTCTATCTTTCCTCTCTCGTTTTCTTTTATCGTTTACCTTCTTTATCTTTTGATATTCGTATGTTATTTTTATCTTCTAGATTTTTTATGCTCTTTTATCTTTTTGTTTTATCTTTCTTATGTTCTTGTGTTATTGTTATCTTATACTCCCTCCGTCCCGTTGGGATGTTCCCGGTTTGACCTACACACATATTAAGGAAATAAACTTACCAGGAGGTAAACTTTAATGTTTTGACACTGTTTCGACACTGTTTGGCATTGTTTGGATGTAGGAGAACTTTCCATTTAGGGAAATGAGAACTTCTTTTTGGGACATCTAAAAAAGGAAAGCGGGAACATCCCAACGGGACGGAGGGAGTATTTATTTTTATCTTATCCGTTTTATCTTACTTTATTTTTTCTCTTTTTCTTTTTCTTCTTCTTGTCTGTCTTTTCTTTTTGACACTGATATCATGGTTCGATTCATGTTAGTTGACCCCAAATCATTTGGGATTAAACCTTGGATGTTGTGACCAGATCAGGCTAGACTAAAATAGATCAACCCTCACTAGACCAGACAAGACAAGTAAAATCTACATACACGTGACAGTTATCGGACTACATCATATTAGACTAGGCCGGATTTAACCAGATCCAACCATATTTATACGGACCATATCCGAAAATTTTAGTGCCATTAAAAGCACCCTTACATAAACAAATAACAATCACATCTTATAAATCTAGATAACAATAGCAATAGTAATATTAAAAGTTATAGTACTAGATATTAATAATAATAATAATAATAATAATAATAATAATTTAGGGGGTGTTTGGAACTGATTCTGATTCTGCTTCTTTATTGAAGTAGAATCAGAATCAGAATCAGTTTTAAGAAGCTGGTGGTCTCCCCCAACTTCTAAAAAAACTGATTCTAGGAGTAAACTAAAGCATCAGAATCACTTCTGCACTTTCACCCAAACACTCCAACTTCTGCTTCTGCTCCCTGAAGGAGCAGAAACAGTTTTAAAAATCAGATCCAAACACCCCCTAAAATAATAACTGTAATAATTTTATAAACACAAATATGTACCGCAACATTTACATATATAATGACAAGTTTTTTGTTAGTATGAGGTGATCTCAACTTTGCCGAACTAATCCCTTGCGTGCTTTTAAGAACTCACCCAAGATCTTGAGAGATTTAAATCCGAGTCTTTTAAACAATTCATTAGGTTCCCGCCGCCATCTAATAACAAGTAAAATATATAAATTATTCATCTCTTTGCACTGAGTAAAGAATCTAGTGTGTGTATTACTTTCATATTTCAGTTCAAAACAATTTACATTATTTCCATTTATTTTGAGTAAATAGTAGATTCACATCAATTATCTGTCAAACACACATAGTGGTAAAGGTAATGAAACAATCACCTCCAAATATTAGAGGACAGTTAACGGGTTGATCCACACAGAAGATCTCCAATTCATGAGCCATCTCGGCCACCTTTTTGTGCTCCTCTCTACTCAAGAAAAGTCCTCTATCTGATTCCAGAACCTAGTTAAATCAAAATGATTGAACTCTTCTAACCGCATTTGCCTTTGAGAATTAAATCTCAACTCGCGAATCGTTAATATAAGTAGATGGCAAGTAAAGTGTTTGATTTGGGCACCTTAGATAAAAGGGAATTGACGAGAAGATCTGGCTTGGAAACGCCAGGAGAAGCTACGGCAAGTGCAGAAGCACAAGGCGTTCGCCGGATCCGGAGCTTATGGTGCTGTTGAGGCGGTGGATTCTTCGTCGGAGCAGAAGTGAACGAGTAGACTGGTAAGAGATTTGGAACGAAATGAAGTGATATATTGGTCGTGAGAGCGGAGAAGGAGGCCATGTCTCCACACCTGGAATTGATACAGATTTCTGAACTCCGTTGCAGATTCGGTTAAAGTGTTTATCTTCAAATACTTCACGGACATGGACAAAAGTAATGACGTTTTTAGTGGTCCCATCCGATCTCTAGTCTAATAATGTCTAATCTCGTTGTATCTATAATAAAAACTTATAAGCACCAATGATAATTAGGACATTTTAAAAATGTAAAAAATGTTGGTGTAACTCTAAAGAAAATGATTAGTTCTATTCCTCTTCTTACATCCGTTAAATCTAACGTTGAGTTTCGGCAAATTATACCGTGGGATCGGTGTACCATGTGCATGGTACACCGATCCCAAATACGGTATCGTTTTGAAAACAAAAAGTCAGTCACAAGCTCACTCTTTATTTGCAGCTCCACTAATCAGGCCACTGGCCGTCTCCCCCAAGCTCGTTACTTTTTATTCTTTTTCATTTTTTAATTTGCTCTCTCGATTCTATTTCTCTAGTGGACTCCCCACCCTCTTTCTTTTTTACTTTTTTGTTTTTTTACTTTTATTTTTTCATTATCAAAATCAATTTCCAAATGATTTTTTTAAATTAAGGAACACTGGCCAAATGTATGTACTTCATTTCAATTTTGTGATTAAATTTTTATCCTTTCAAAACACATTAATTACTTTTCTTTCTGTCTTAATCCTTATTCCTGCACTTTTTTCTTTTTTTCTTCAACTAAAATCACAACCAAAAATTTATTATGTTTTGTAATATCTTTTTATATTCATTTTTTTGTGTAATAAACTTTTATATGGATACACTTTTTATCGCTTTTATATGTCTTTAGAGGCTTTTAAGACATTGAATGTGTTTATTTTTATTTATGGAGTTACATTTGATAATATACGAAGTTAAATCTTTTTTTTACGAAGTTAAATCTTCTTATGCCCAAGTTACATGTTATAATGCGCGAGTTACATCTTGTTATGCGTCGGTTACATCTTTTTATGCGCGAGTTACATACTTTTATGCGCGAGTTACATCAAATTATGCATGAGTTACATCTAATTATTTGTGATTTTTACTTATCTTTATCTTTAACTAATTACATCTAATTAAATTACATTTTTCATAACACTAGTTACATACCAGAATAAACTCCAACTATGGAAACAAAATTTCATCTTTTTTGCAAAGAAAATGTATTTTTTGGCAAAAAAAAATAATATTAAAAAAAATATTTTTATGGCCTTAATATTAAAAACAAAAAAATGTCTACTATTTACGTAAAGTAATTCAACAATTAGACTCCATGTTTTCATTGTTTACATTGAAATCATTGTTTTATTTCTTATACTCCGCATTACATAAGTTACATTTTAATTTGTCTTCAGTTACATTTGTTGTCAACGTGAGTTACATTTCTTTACACGCGAGTTACATCAACCAATTGCTGGGACAAGAAAAAAAATAAAAAAAAGTTACTGTTCACGCGCGTGAACAGTAACACGCGAATTTGTCTCTGGGAGCACCATGCTCACGGTGGGTTGCTCCCACGTTATAACAACTCTTGAGTTTCCATTTTCCAACATGTATGGATTTGATGCTTTGATTTCCATTAATGCTTTATGGGGACTATATGTGGATTTGATGCTTAAATTATCATTCACAGGGACTACGTGTTGATTTGATTTCCATTAACCAATTTTTTATTTTAATTTTTTCCACTACCTATATGTTACCTTGTGTTATACTGTTATGTGGCACAATAGAAGACAAAAAAAATCATAGAATTACTAAATTAAAAATCCCGTCAATAAAATAATTCAGCATATTTTTTACATATCAATTTAGTAAAACATTTGTTGAGTTTAATCCAACACGATATAGTAAATATATGTATAAATGTGTATGAACAAGCTCAGTTTTTACGTGGAAACCCGAAAAGGAGAAAACCACGGGACTTTTTAGGCTAATGTCCAAGCCCTCTCTTTCTCATTATATATAGGATTCTCCTTACCATTACATTGTACAATATTCAAGCTCCCATTAATGGAGTATTGTAAGCTAGCTAGCTATTCTAGAGAGAAGGGGGGAATTGGGAAAGAAGAAGCCAACCAAAAAAGGATCCCTAAACACGTGGGAAAGCCCCATATTTATAGGGGAAAGGGAGTAGGGTAAAACCTACCCAAATGGGCCGAATGGGCCGAAATGGGCCCAAAGGCCGAAACATGCCCAATAGGCTTGGAATGGCCTTCGCCATCCGGGCTCTGAACTGGGTAATATCTTGGACCCTTGAACAGTAGTAGGCCGGGATAATATACCTCAACAACATCATTTAAATTATTTTAAGTAATGTTTTCCTTTTGATTTTTTTCCTTTAATATTTATGAAATAAAAAATACATATTTCGATGAAAAAAATAAATTTCATTACATTATTTTAATAACTAATTAGTTTTTATAAAAATACTTATGTAATAAATTTCATTACATTACATATTTATGAAATAAAAAATACATATCTTTTTTTCGGTTAATAAAAGATGAACTTAGTTCAAGTAAAGTTCCATTAGAGAATGTTCAGTTATTTGTGAAGCCCTATGAATTAAAATTTGTGGAAATTACACACACGGTCCCTCTTTTAGAATCAGATATCATCGATGTCTCGATTGATTTCTCTTTTCATTTATAGACTTTTAAGTTTTCAATAATGGGATTTTTATTTCACTTCTAGATAGGCTCCGTGACTTCCGTCGACACATACTTTTAAACCTTCAACATTCGCCATCCTCTCCGACTCCCCGACTTCTCCCCTCTTATCTCAACATCTTTATCTGAGCGTTTGAATTCATGGAGTTCTTCCTACATCGATCTTCCAAATTGTTTTCATCGCAGCGGACGAGGCAGCATCTGAAGAAACGGAGATTGCATCTCAGTGTTGATAGGTTGGAATCAGAGCCTTGAGTTCATGACACACTTTTCGGGATCGATCGATCCCTTATCCCAACGATTCGGCCCCTCTCTACCAGCCAATTGTTCAGCGGTCAACAACCAACGCCGATTCACATCCTCTAGAGCCCGCTGCAGCCCCATCTCAGCCAGCGCAGCCCGCAACGGCACCTTGGTAAGTTATCTTCCCGTCTAAAGTAGCTGTTTAGAAGCTTGTTCTTCAATTAGGCGCTAGAGGTTTGAATTTGTCTCAAGTTTGTGGTTCCTCGACTGTGAATAAGTTCTGATCTAAAGGTTCTGCTTGTTTCTATATTCCGCTGTTTATTACTCTTTGGCTGAATAGATACGATTTTAGAACGACCTCAGAGCTTGTGAAATCTAGTGGAATCGTGCTTTTCTAGTGGATACTCTTGCTCTGGTAATTAGCGGTATTGTTGGTGCTGCAGGTTTGAATTCGTCTCAAGTTTTGTGTTGGGAAGTTGCTTTTGCAGGGACTGGTCTTGTTGGCGGGGCTGGAAAAGGGGACCGGGGCTGGGCTATACAATTGAACAATTGTTTCACCGATCTGAAAGAATTGAAAATTGGGTCACTATAGAGGATATTTTGTCGGAAATAGTCACCGGAAGAATTGATGTTAAGATGCATAAAAGGAGAGGGAGAGAGCTATGCAAATGGATTGGTCTTTGTTGATCTTTGGTGCTGTTCTAATCTACTGCTTGGTTGTTGTATTGGTTGCTCGGGAACATCTAAGCACAAAAGAGTGCGAGAGCCTTAGCTTCACTGATATTGCTCTCTGTTCCAATTGCAAAACACATTCGGAGTATGTGAAAGATCAAGAGGCAGTTTTTGATTGTTTGAGGTGTTGCACACTTGCACTGAAGACTCTAATAATGCCACAAGCAAGGTTGTATATGCGGAAGCAGTTATAGAAGTCTGCATGAGAAAATTGGTATTCTACCTTGACATTGTTGACTTTATTGAAGAAGAGAAAGAGAAGTACGTACTTCAGTTCTTAGCAGTAAAGGTTAAGCCATCCTCAGATCTTTAGTACTAGGGATGAAATCATCTTATAACCAACCTTATCTCCATATATACAATAGAGTATTCTATATTATTAGCGCATCAGTTAGTACTCCTTTCATAGTAATATGCAGCTTGGGTAAACCATTTTGCCTTTTTCAGCTTGTGCAGCAGTATTCTGTACACTTGGACAACCATTGTTGTATTCACTTGGTGCATTTTATTTCTTAAAACAAAAGATGCATAAAAGTATCTGAAGGAATGCCAAATTATACAATACATATATGTAATACATTGAAATACCAGATTGAATTACATAATTGGTGTGATACTTTTATATATTTCTTTTTGTTTCTTTTTGTTGCATTAAATGTGTTGCTTTTTGTTTCAACATGTTGTTTTTTGTTGCATCGTGTTGCACTTTGTTGCATTTTGTTAGTTATTTTAGTTTTATTGTTGCTCTTGATGTTTGTTGTTTATGCATGATTTTATTTATATATCTTTGCTACTTTTTTGAAGTAAAAGATCACATGTAGATTTATATTAAATCTCAAAAATGATAAATTGGCATTCCTGAAACAATAAAAAACAAAAATTCCAGACATATCAACAAAAGGAAACAAAAAGAAACAATATGCAACAAAAGGAAATAAAAACAAACAATATGAAAAAAAAAACAAATAGGTCATATATTTATTTATTGAATTTATAAATTTCTTACTTTATTTTTTAAAAAAATTACTTTGTATATATTTCGTTTCCTAAAATAAAAATTGTTTCAAAAAAAGATTCTAGTTGCTTATGATAATTTTTAAATTTTCAAAACCATTTTTTTATATATATTTTAATTTTTTTTAAATTTTATATATTTAGAGTTTATTTTTTTTTCATATTTTGAGAATTTTTTACCTTTTCATTTTTAATTTTTTTATTTATACATTTCATTTTTTAATTAATTTTATAACATTTCAATTATTTGTATTTTTTTGTTTTTTATATATAAATTTAGGGGTATATGAAGTCTTCTAAAAATAAAACTACAAAGAATGGTTACTTTTCTACAATTTTTCCACTTTACAAACTATTATAAACCTTTCTCATTTTCACTTTTGAGTTTTGTATTTCCAATTTCTCTATACTTTTGTTAACATTCTTTTTATTTATTT